CATTTTAAAGAGCGTTATATATAATGAACTATACTGTCGAATGAAGTGGTCAGAAATCGTACCATTAAGTACGTCTATCAGCTGTTTCCCAGCTCAACACCAGTACAAGGTCATGAACCAGGAAATATGATACAACAATGCCTGTACTATCGCATACCGCGTCCTGGTTCAGTGTTGTCGTTAATATTTCACTTATTTCTACTGGTAAGTCGTAATATCATTGACTATTAACACAAATAGTATGAGTTATACCTGGTGACTTGATTATAAACAGTATAAACTTTGATACAATATCCATGTTATCAGAGTTTAGCCAGTAACAGTTCCCTTACTTCCATGTGTATAGCCCAAAGATTTAGTGACCTCAATCCTGTGAATAAATGTATTGTGTGTAGTCTTTGGTGCATGCTCAAACTAAATAAAGGTTTAAACTAAACAAAGATTTAGGTCGTACATTGCTGTACGATTTCGTGTAGAGTTTACTAATTTACTCTTATCAATCAGTTGCCTTTGTAAACAAGGTCAAACAAGTAACAATATAATATAATGTCACCTTACTGTGTTATATGTTTGTAGGGACATTATTTCGCGACTGTTTTCACAAGAGCAATGCAGTAGTCCTTTGATTGTGTCGTGAATGCATTCTAAAATTAGCTCTATTTTGTATATGGATGTTACTCATTCCATGGACGGTAACTACTGTGATTTTGAAGATGCCGGTGTATGCGGGTACATATTTGTATATTTTGTCCATTTTGAATTTTTTTTAGTATGGCTGAATGCCTAATTTGTTGCGAAATGGCATTGAGTCATTTAGCTGTGATCAGCAGTGACAATGCGGGATTAGCAAATAATATATATTTGAATAATTTATATTTTGGAAAATTTCAATATGCTACCTGTTTAATCATTTACTAATTTATTCTGTCCTGTTTTGAAAGGAAACTACACTATATACGTAGTGACAATATTGTTTACATTAGTGCACTAACTTTTATTTAGTTTGAACAGATTTGTAGTATGTTTGCCGGACAAAAATGTTATGAAATATCATACAATTACTAATATTAAAATGTTTTGTAAACAAACTGTGGATAGTAAGTATGCATGATTGGGAGAGTGTGTACATCGTTTATAAGTGCATTATTTTATTTTTATTATGCCTGCCCGTCTAATTTCCTGTGCAACATTTAATTCATTATTTTAGTTGTTTTCTGTGTTCAAATTAAAGCATGTGGCAGGTGGCAATAATAATGTGTAATTCTATAGTTATTTTGTAAACATAAGTGTAGGAAGAAGCACCTTCCACCCGCCGACACGCCAAAACAATTTATTCCAAACACAGGGGATGGTTATCAAGCTAAAAATATTTCTGATGTCAGAGTCGAAAGTGAGAGCGTCCTCTAAATTGTAGCCACAAATACCAGCCCGAGGGAAGACAATAAATACTGATATTGAACAACCACCCCAAGTACACTAATTCATAATAAAATAATAATACTTTTATTTGGAATATATTAAACTTTATTTCAATTAATAATAAATGAAACATTGATCACAGTTTTAACTTACGTTGTTCGCTGAACATCCTTTCAGTAGTGGGAAATACAAGCAGATATTAATTATAAAATTATAAACTTGAAAATTGAACTTTACGTTTCATGTCTGAATGTCTTACCAGGTATTACTATCCAAATTACGGGGCCGTCAGATACTAATGTTATAGATGGAGAAGATGCTACATTAGTTTGTATTATCACTGATATTGTCTCACCATATCTTGGAAGATGGTCAGTAGTTGCTGTTCCACCACTACGCTTATTTACAATACAAGGTACTGGAAGTTGGACATACAGTACTGGTTATGACGATGTTATACATGATGGTTGGACTATTATCACATCAATGACCGATCATTTCGATTTGAAGATTCCAAATGTTAATGTTGAAGACGAAGGAACATACGATTGTGGCTCTACATCAGAGACTCCAGGAACTGTACCAGGACATTATGCTGTACTGAGTGTAACAGGTAAGAACACCTATCATGTACTACATTGGAGATTCAAAGAACTGTGTTAGGATATTATGCTGTACTATCAGTAACAGGTAATAATATACACAATCTACTACCTTGGGGTCTCGAGGAACTGTATCAGGAAGATATGCTGTATTAACATCTTCGGCTAAGAACACGTAAGAAATTTGAATAATACATGTGTAATTTATTTCAGTGCCTGTGAGATCTGTCATTATCGTTGGAAACTTAAATAGTGATACAGCATATGTAGTAGACGGGTCAGTGTCTACATTTACATGTAAAGTTATAGGCACCAAACCATCAGCTGATATAGACTGGTTTATAGGAACACAATTATATCAGGGCACACTAAGTGTAAAGAATGACGGTAAACTACGTGATACAACAAGTGTGTTTACATTTACACCAAACTTGGACAGTGATGATAATAAACAACTACAATGCAAAGCTAGTAACACCGATGAAAGGTCACCAGTGACAACAAATGTCAAGTTATATGTAAAAGGTAAGCTTG